TTTTATCATTATTTTTTTTCTGAGGACTAATCATATTTACTCCAGCAGAAGATAGCATTCTATCAATAATCTGTTAAGTTTAGTTATTGTGAGAGCGTGATGATAAAAAAAAAATGTATGTGAAATTCATCAGATAAATGGTATTTTTCAGAATGATGTGATTGGCGTTATTGAAAAACTCCACAGGGATGAACTTGAGCCCACCCCTGGTAACACACTAATGAAGACTTTTGAGAACAAGGTAGCTTCCTAAGAAACATTTTTTCGCAAATTGGAAATTTACATAAACAGTTAAGTTAAAAATGACCGCTCATTATCACATTGAAAACACAATATAATCTTTTATGAGGTTAACAGAATCCTTAAAACTGCCTGCGAAGAAAATGGTGGCAAGGCCCTGGAGTCTCTCTCTGAGCTCAATAACTTCAAGGCCATGGTCGTGTCTGGTTCAAAAGGGTCAAAGGTTAACATTTCTCAGGTTGGTTGATAATGTTATTTTTTTAATCATTTGTTAAATATAGTCATCTACTTAAGTGGCAATGTGCCACTATTTGCAACTGCATTTAGGTAAAATTTTATATGCGGCAGTATGCTGCAGATAGGAATAAGAGAATCCACTCTCATAGTCCTAGTGTGACTGCTGTGGGTAACCCCAAGCACGTACACATCCATGGTCATTTTAAAGTAACACGCAGCTGTGTACTGACCTTAAATTTTATGTTTGGTTATTTACACGCAGGAATTACCATCCCTGCCCTGGGGTTGACCCATGATCAGCTCGTGATGCGGGTTCCCTGTGACTGTGTGCTATATAAGGCGGGGGTTTACATTTAACCCGGAAGGAGGGCGAACTGGGACTTGGAGTGTGTACATGGCTCTGTCAACGGATTGTACCTAACATTAAAAAGCTATAGTCCTCAGACCTGGTTGTTTTATTGTGATTTTATTTAAACTGTAAGCCACGTCACCACTCGGCCACACTTATATCATTGGCCTCTCCTTATAATTATCTATTAACAATCAGTTCCAATTTTCTCTCAAACATAAAATCTTTGTCAGGTCTTGTGATGTGCAACCTATTGTGACTCTCGAATGAAATTTTCTATCACAAACTAATTGACATTTATTCTCCCAACTTGATCTGCTATAATTTAAAACACTTTCCTCAGGCCATTGCTTGTGTGGGGCAGCAGAGCATAGAAGGTAGACGAATACCATTTGGCTTCAAACACCGCACCTTACCTCACTTCATTAAGAATGATTATAGTGCGAGTTCTAGGGGTTTTGTTGAGAACTCTTACCTTGAGGGCCTGACACCTTCAGAGTTCTATTTCCACGCCATGGGAGGTCGTGGGGGTCTCGTTGATGCTGCTGTGAATGCTGCAGAAACTGGTGAGTCTTCCCTTTGAAATTTTAACATTGTTTCAGTTTGCTCCTACAATGTTCCAATAAAGTTTTAACTGTCCAACTATAAAAGTTAAATTGATTTATTTTATAACTCAGGATATATCCGGCGGATTCTTTTTAAATCTATGGAGAGTGTAATGGTGAAATATGATGGAACTGTGAGAAATCAAGTTGAACAGGTGGTCCAGTTTAGATATGGTGAGGATGGACTTGATGCCTGCTGGGTGGAGTTCCAGTCCATACCAACTCTGAAACCATCAGACAAAGCATTTGAACGGAGATTCCGCTTCGATGCTACCAATGAGAGGTATAGTTTCACACTTTGGACATACAACATTTCAGGTTTTATTCTAGTAGTCCGTCCAGTGATGCAGACTTATTGCTGAAGCTCAAGGGGATATTATTTATCAGACACTAAATTATGTTAATGTCAAATTTAAACCTCTACTGCAACTACATCCACTCTCTTCCTCCCCAATTTCCATATGTGTCTGCATATTATGCCAGACAGCGACATGTCAGGCGAACTTCACATACAATTCTAAGTAACTTTACTTCCATACATTAATCTGCTAAAATTAACTGCGAGAATCATTCTTAATACAAAGCTATTGAGGATTTTTTAATTCTTTTTGTTTAAATTCATGGCTGACTTAATAAGTCCTTAATATATTGCCTATTAAACGGACAGTAAGCCTACTCACAGTGGTGCTGGGATATTCACCATTAATTTCCCTTCAAGAACTTAATTTACTCTAATAAATTAGGGTTTTGTTATGAAGGACCAGAACTTGAGTCTGACATGATTGCGATCAAAAAACATATCAGAATGCTCGATACAACATGAAAACAACCATATAAAAATAATAACAAAGTTTATTTGAAAATCAAGCTTTATCCCTGAAGGCTCGAAACGCGGTACATAGTCTAGAATATTAAAAGAGAAATGAAACAATCTATAATATACCAAATTGAAATACAATTTGCAACATTACATAAACTATATACGAGAATACCCATTCTAAGACTTTTAACCATAAACAACACAGGCCAATACACATCTACAAGATAATAGCTAGATAGACAACATCACCCTAGCAGGTGTTTGCGAAATAGATATGTCTTCAAATGAGTTTTGAAAGACTCCAGTGTCTGGCTGTTTCTGATAGCGCCAGGAAGAGTGTTCCAAATTGTTGGGCCAGCAAATGCGAAAGTGCGCACTTTATAAGTCTCAAGGCGAACACGTGGTATCAGGAGTTTGCCACTATCAGATGAGCGGAGTTGTCTAGTGGGTACATAAGGTGTCAGCAGCGCTTTGAGATGGGACAGTGCCAGGTCATGTAGCAGTGGTAGCACAGAGTTGCAATTTTGTACTGTATGCGAGCACAGACCGGCAGCCAATGAAACTCTCTCAGAAGTGTTTTAGCATGGTCGAATTTGCATTTTCGAAGAACAATGTGAGCCGCATTATTCTGTGCTTTTTTAATTTTATCCAGGAGCGTAGCTGGGAGACCCACTATGAGAGCATTGCAAAAGTCCATTCGTGATAGCAAAAATGCAGACATCAGCCTCTTTGATGCATCTAACGTTAAGAAAGGTCTGATATGACTAATTCTGCGCAGCTCTAGAAAAATCGCCTTGCAAAGCATGTTAATGTGATTTTCCATAGTTAGTTTTTTGTCTAAATAGACACCCAGGTTTTGCACTGTTTGAGCAAACTCAATCTGTATACTTGAGAGAGTAAGGGTTTGTGTGTTAGCTATACATTTTAGCTTTTGAGCGGTAGCAATTGGGATCAGCTGGGTCTTTTCATCATTCAATTTAAGCTTGTTTATAGTCATCCAGTGCTTAAATGACTAAACTGCCTTCTGTGTCATACTAAGAAGACAAGGGAACTGAGAGGGGATCACAGATTTCTGGAGTTGAGTATCGTCCGCGAACATGTGATACAGCATATCAAACTGCTTGGTCACTGCACCCACGGGCTGAACATACATAGTGAAAAGCACCAGGCCTAGGACCGAGCCCTGATGATAGATAAACACAGTGCACCAAAAGTAACATTAATGAAATGCATGCATCTTGAACACGTTCATCAACAGTGCATAGCTCCTGCCGCCACTGTTCTGTGAGGAGTTAAGGAAATTGTTTTGGTAAGTTTTTGTAAATGGGTCTCTACGAAGGAAAAACATGTCCTAGTTAAGCACTATTTTTACTCGTGAAGTGGCCTCAAGTTTCAAAAAGCTGGCTCAACAATTCTGAGAGCGATTTAATATGATGTCATCAAGTAATACAGGTACAACGTGTTGTCCAGTAACTGTTTCGACAAATGAGAATCATGCAAGTGTTCTGCAATAGATATGTCTGTTCGCCATCTTTCTAAAGTTATAGGTGCTTTTTTTTGTACCGGGTGCAGGTTGAACAATGCTTGACAGAGTCAGATACGTGAGCCAGGATGATTTATTGTAGACATTTTTGGCCGCAGTGCACAAGAATCCATATTTTTTTTAGGAATGCGTGGCTCTCAGACAAAAGTCACATTCACTTGGATGGCTACATAAATTGCCAGACAATGGGCTTCCTTGAGTTTGAGTGGCTTGAGTGAGCGGCTATATGTTATTGCCCAGAAACAACTACATAGTGCACGTGTGAAAACATGGTGTACCATTTCAGTACAAATCATATAAGGCCCCTATTTCAGTGAGGATCAGGAAGGCAGTGCTGTAGAGTCGCCCAAGAACGCTACAGAGGCTTAGTGATCAAACCATTTCTTCAGGATTTGACAAGTTTGTGCAGTGCAAGGAACCTTCCCATGAATAGTCAGTGGCGTCAACAGGACGGGGCGACCAGACATACCGCTAGAGAATCTATAGCCATGCTGCATAATACTGATATATCCTTTAACCGTATGGCACATATACACACACACTGCCACATATATTATTATTATATGGTAAGATAATTTCTCATAAGGTTAATTCCTAATAAGATAGCATGAGTCGACCAACAAAGCACTTCTTCTTTATTTTTACTTCTGTGCTTCACAGATTGGTCTCCCCCCGCTCTAATATTACACAACTTTTTTTGTACCTCTCTACTTTTTACTGTGACTGCTCTTGTATGGCGCTGTGCTTTGATTGACCAAGTGCTATATCCTTTGTGTTGTTCAGTCTATGCATTTAAAGTCACAAATTACTAACCTCTGCCCTTAATTTCTCCATTACCCTTCCACCTAATGCTAGTCCTGTTTCTTTCACATTCTCAAATATGCCAGGATGCTCATTTTACAGTAATAAAACATACCACTTCCTGTGTCTGAAATTACATCTATGCTTTAAGCATAGATAGATTCTAAAGATAAAACATCCCGCCTCTGACCTCACATGCTCAAACAAAGATTATGATTTCCCCACAATTTATTTAAATATATATATATTTATTTATTTATCACTTCCTATCAAAGGTCTATGCGAAAGCATCTAAATGAAGAAGTGATTAGAGATCTGATGGGTGATGCGAGCCGCATGGCTGAAATTGAAAGAGAATGGGAGCTGCTCAATGAAGACAGATCCAACATACGTCAAGTATTTTCTGCTGGTGATGCTCATATTCTGCTACCTTGCAACATGGACAGAATTATGTGGAATGCTCAGAAGAAATTCAAGATTGACAAACGCAAGCCTTCAGACTTGCATCCCCTCAAAGTTATTGAAGGTTCAGATATTTCATGTTCTAAAAAAAAATTTGTTGAAGTACAAGTCTGTATCAGTTAGTAATTGAAACATTTTTAAATGTTATAAAATTATGCAACATGCTAGTTACAGCCTGCCCAAACAATGGCGGCCTGAATATGTGAACATCTTATCTACTAAAGTTACTTGACAAAACATGCATTCAAGTAACACACTTTATAAAAATTCTAATTAGTGCTACCTATATAAATTATCTAATATCCCACTCCTTTTTTTACTAAAGATTTATAAGACCATATTTAAATTGAGATTATTTCCTATAACAAAAGTAAATATTACGCACCAAAGCCATTGGCAGTATTTTTAAGAATCTCATTTGGCACAGTTATCTGGAATTTTATTTTGCGCACCAATGAACCTTAGCCTTAGTGACCGACATTGTTACATAAGGAATTATGTCTGTTGATCTTTGACTATCACCAGTTCATTTGAGAGAAACTGATGGTATTTATTCCTAACTTTTCGTAGGTGTGCGAGACTTGTGTCGTAAGCTGCTCATTGTGGTAGGAGAAGACAAAATTTCTTACCAGGCTAATGAGAATGCAACTATGCTGATGAAAGCTTTGATTCGGGCAACTTTATGCACCAAGAGAGTGGCTGAGGAACACTGCCTCACTTCTGAGGCTTTTGAATGGGTTCTGGGTGAAATAGAGACAAAATTCCAACAAGCTATGGTAAGTCAAAGAGTTTACTTTATTTCAATAACATGGCCACTGTCATGTTGTGCTTAACATTTTAATATTATTCCAATTCTTAAACTCAGTGCTGTTTTATTAATTTTTATTTGAAAGGCGTTGTCACAAGTACAGCTGCCAAAATAATACACAAAATTAAAAATGTTATGGAAAGCTGATCGGAATTCCTTTTTATTCACATCATCATATTCCCTCTACTTGACTGCACCAATTCTTGAACTACATTAGCACCTTTAAGACTTTAATAGTTATGTGAAGTTAGTTAGTATAATGAATGCAATTACAAATGTTATAAAGTCATTTGATGGGGATAAACAAACATGTTTTTCTTTGTAAACTATTTGATCTACTGGTGACAGATATTTTTCCTTGTTATAACTTACTTAATTGCCTATGCCTTTTACCCCATCTGGCATAGGCCGTCCATTCATCTCGGTCCCGTGCTTTCCTTTCCAGTTGCTTCCAGGTTTATCCATTCCTTTGTGTGTCTGCCTCTAGCTCACATCTCAAGTATTCTTAAGCCTTCCTCTCTTGTTTTTTCTTTTGGATTCCATGTTATATTTAACAAACCTGAAATCCTGATAGTGTATTTTGGAATGTATTCACTATAGGTGCATCCTGGTGAGATGGTTGGAGCCCTTGCTGCTCAGTCCTTGGGAGAACCTGCAACTCAGATGACCCTCAACACTTTTCACTACGCTGGTGTGTCTGCCAAGAACGTCACTCTTGGTGTGCCACGTCTGAAAGAGATTATTAACATCTCCAAGAAGCCTAAGACCCCATCTCTCACAGTTTACCTTTTGGGACAGGCAGCTCGTGATGCAGAGAGATGCAAGGATGTCTTGTGCCGCCTGGAGCACACAACACTGCGTAGGGTCACAGCAAATACTGCCATTTATTATGATCCAGACCCCATGAATACTGTCGTTGCTGAAGATCAGGAATGGGTAAGTTTGGGTAAAGAATGGGTAAAAAAAATGAGGCTTTGTCTTATTGTCATCAGCATAACCAAAAATGTAGAGCTCTGATGTCCATCAACACATACTTCCACTCAAACTAATCCATGGCTTTATGACTCCTTGCACTAATCCTCTCATCTGATGTAAAAAGCACTCCATGTTATCTATCCATCTCAGTCTCAGGCCTGATTGTCATATTAAAGTGCATTTATAGCTTAAATATTACAATGAATTCCTTACTGTCTCATAATTTATTTAAACGTCTACAGGTCAGTCTCTATTATGAGATGCCAGATTTTGATGCCTCCAGAATTTCCCCTTGGCTCTTCCGTATTGAACTGGACCATAAATGCATGACTGACAAAAAACTAACTATGGAAGCCATCTCTGAGAAAATTCAGTCAGAATTCGGTGATGATCTGAACTGTATCTTTAATAATGACAATGCTGAGAAGCTTGTGCTCAGAATACGAATTATGAACTCTGATGAAAATAAATATCAGGATGTAAGTAATTTTTATTCAGGAAAAACATAGAACTAAATTAAATTAGGCATTACTGGTATGTTCATTATTACCGGTACTCAAAAATAATAACATAGCAGGTTTTTTGTCACAAAGTTAAATAACCTTATAGCATATTTAGTCATTTTTTTTTAAATTGTGAAATGTATACCAATGCAAGTTTTTTAATGACTTTTAATATGACAAAGTCCTTTCGTGTTACCCGGTATTAATTTACTTTTCAGGAAGAGAAAGTGGTAGATAAGATGGAAGGCGATGTTTTTCTTCGTTGCATTGAAACCAATCTCTTGTCTGACCTGTCTTTGCAGGGTATTGAAGCCATAGCAAAAGTGAGTTGAAGTTCAAGTGTAACATGTTTCCTAAGTAATAAATTATAAACATGTCTATTACTATTATGGCAAATTACTTCACTTTTAACCTCTTTTAAAAATTCTTGTAAAATGAGAAGTAAACAATACTGTGGGTCTTACATTATACAGGTGTGTCTTACTTTATACAGGTGTGTCTTACATTATACAGGTGTATATGCATTTGGCTAACACTGATGACAAAAAGAGAGTCCACATTACTGAGGAGGGAGAGTTTAAAGCTGTCAGTGAGTGGATCCTTGAAACTGATGGGTCCAGCCTGACTAAAGTTCTCAGTAAAAGAGACGTTGACCCTGTTAGAACCTATACTAATGACATCATTGAAGTGTTTGATGTGAGTTTTAAAAGTATATTAGCCAAGTGAAATATAAAACATAGTTTTAATTCAAACTTTGTTATAGACCCTGTGAAGTTAACAGCATAGTTTTCATTCAAATTTTGTTTGATTCTTATAGACCCATGAAAAATGTTGAAGGTTGTTATTCAAATTTTTTTTCCTACCTTTAGACCCTGGGAATTGAAGCTGTCCGCAAGGCCATAGAAAAAGAAATGAATCATGTCATCTCTTTTGATGGCTCTTATGTCAACTATCGTCACTTGGCTTTACTTTGTGATATTATGACTTCTAAGGGTCACTTGATGGCTATTACTCGTCATGGTATCAATAGGCAGGAAACTGGTGCTCTTGCAAGATGTTCTTTTGAAGAAACTGTAAGTACCTTGATAATAATTTCACATTGTCATGCTTTATATGTGCTGTTACTTTAATGAGAAAATGATGCTCCCTAATGCTTTATATGTGCTGTTACTTTAATGAGAAAATGATGCTCCCTAATGCTTTATATGTGCTGTTACTTTAATGAGAAAATGATTATGAGTTAGTTGTTTGTTCAAGAAGCTGAGATATTCTTTTTGAAAAAACTGTAAGTACCTTGAGAATAATTTTACAACTTAGCATTTTAAATAAATGGATAACTATTTTGAAGGAAACAGTAGTGAATTTTTCAGAATGTGTTCTTACTATGCCATACGGTATATAAATTCAGCACATAAGATTATAATAATCTATGAAAAAATGACAATAGCAATTGACATGCTTTTGAAAAAACTGTAAGTACCTTGAGAATAATTTTACAACTTAGCATTTTAAATAAATGGATAACTATTTTGAAGGAAATAGTAGTGAATTTTTCAGAATGTGTTCTTACTATGCCATATGGTATATAAATTCAGCACATAAGATTATAATAATCTATGAAAAAATGACAATAGCAATTGGCATGCTCAGGGATCTTACACATTAACAAGTCAGTAAATTTCTAAGAAGCACTTTGTTGCTATAATTTAGAAATAGCAGAGGTGCCGTTAATGGTAGTGTTCTATGATTTTTATATAGTGTGGCGTTCAGATGGGGCACCCAACACAATGTTGTCAGGATGGACTTTCATTTTTTTTGCACCAATAAAAACTTACTTTGTTCATGATAACCGCAGTGCAAAATCATGATATATTTTTTTTTGTGTATAGCTCATATAAGGAAAAACAGAAACATGGATCTCCGGATCTAGCCATTTCAGGCTACACGATCTCAGGAACAAATTTATCAGAAAACATTTCATAAGTCCTTCATAATTACCGACATCTCACCACTTATGACACTCTACATCCTATTAATACAATTATTGCTTGCTGGTTTCAGTGTCTCACTTGCTCACAGATTTCTTCAACTTATCATTGCATTTTTATTCAGGTTGATATCCTTATGGAAGCCGCCTCCCATGCTGAGGTGGACCCCATGAAAGGGGTGTCTGAGAATATCATGTTAGGTCAACTTGCCAAGATTGGTACTGGATGCTTTGAACTACTCTTGGATGCCGAGAAGTGCAAGTATGGTACCGGTATGAAGAGTCCAACAAATCTGGGAGCCGGACACACTGCTGGTGAGTTAGTCAATTACACCTTGAACAGTGAATATTTCTAAGCCTTTTTTGCCCTTTTTTTGGAAACCTTGTTGCACAGGTTAAAAATAAATCTTAGTTTTCATTTATAAGCAGAACTACTCAGAGAGATCCTATCATTCTGTTGGTTGGTTTTATTTGGGTTTCTTTCATTTTTCAGGACCTCTAAAATAAAGTACAAAAAGTAAAGCNCTAAATGCGGCCTGGGGGGGGGGGGTTCTCCTGATGCGTCCAAATGCGTCCCGGCGCATAGCGACACACCTCTCTTATTTTTAGTTAAAAATAGCAATGAAATCTCGCACCCCTCGAGACTTCCGGCTATGGCGTGATTTCTGCATGATTTTAATTTAGAAACCGGAAGTTTTTATCTTGTTTCACTTTAAAACTACGTGTGCTTTAGTACGGCGCGTCTATATGTAGCATGTGTTCGTCCGAGGTGCCGAAAATCGATTTTTTTGGCCATTGTTCGTTATTTTTCTTCCGCTGATGTTATATTTATATTAAACCTTATTCATTTTTTGTTGCATTTGTTCTTAATTCATTAACATTAAATAATATTTAGCAACTTAAAAAAATATTTTTAAAATATAAATCAATTTCAATTCTGAGTTGCTTCCCTTTTCTCAGGAAAATAAATTAAGTCCGGAAGCAGCGCTGCCGGAGGGAATGAGTTAATTGTAATGTATCCCTGATTTAGATTATAAAACTTTTCAATGCAATTATTCTTAGTGGTGAGCTTTTCCAAAATACTTTCAGATGGTCCAGGTACTGGGAAGTTCATTGGTGCAGCAAGATCTGCAGCAAGCTCAATGTCACCAAGTATGACTCCATGGGGTCAAGTTGGAACACCAGGATATGCTAGTGCATGGTCCCCAGGTGTTGGCAGTGGAATGACTCCAGGTGGGGCAGGCTTCTCTCCATCAGCTGCAAGTGGGTTTTCCCCGGGCTACTCATTAGCTTGGTCCCGACAGCCTAGGTCTCCTGGGTCACCATACTCTCCTTATATACCTTCACCTCATGGTGCATCTTCCCCAAGCTATTCACCCTATTCACCAGCTTACATGCCCAGCTCTCCTGCCATTGCAACACCTCAAAGCCAAAGCTACTCGCCAACATCACCATCCTACTCTCCTTCAAGCCCTGGCTACTGCCCCACAAGTCCGAAGTACTCCCCAACTTCACCATCCTATTCCCCTACAAGCCCATCTTATTCACCATCACCATCCTACTCTCCTTCAAGCCCTGGCTACTCCCCTACAAGTCCAAAGTACTCCAAAACTTCACCATCCTATTCCCCTACAAGCCCATCTTATTCACCAACATCACCATCCTACTCCCCAACATCACCAAACTACTCTCCAGCATCACCATCATACTCTCCAACATCACCATCATACTCTCCAGCATCACCATCATACTCTCCAGCATCACCATCATACTCTCCATCATCACCATCATACTCTCCATCATCACCATCATACTCTCCATCATCACCATAACACTCTCCAACATCACCACCATACTCTTCAACATCACCATCATACTCTCCAACATCACCATAATACTCTCCAACACACCATAACACTCTCCAACATCACCATTATACTCTCCAACATCACGATAATACTCTCCAACATCACCATCATACTTTGTTTCAAGCTCTGGTGACTCCAATTTGAGCTCTCCCCAACATCACCACCATATGTTCCAATATGCCCATTTTAAACCGATACATCATCCTCATTAAAATCACCATCATACTGTCCAACATCACCATCATACTGTCCAACATCACAATCATACTGTCCAACATCACAATCATACTCTCCAACATAATGAAATAGTAGAACAAGGTATGTTGAAGCTTGAATCAATAGACAGTGACAATAAGATTTGAACGTTTCGGCCTATAGCCTTCTTCAGCAACAGGACAAATGAAAATACAAGAAACAGCACAGTAATAAAAAACTTTATAGATATCCTTAGTCCATCAATTATTATCTTTTATTCTCCAACATGAGCATCCTGCTCCCCAACATCACCATTGTACTCACCAACATGACCATCCTACTCTCCAACATCACCATCCTACTCTCCAATATCACCATCCTACTTTCCAATATCACCATCTCTCCAATACCACCATCCTACTCTCCAGTATAACCATCCTACTCTCCAACATCACCATCCTACTCTCCAGTATCACCATCTTACTCTCCAGTATCACCATCCTACTCTCCAGTATCACCATCCTACTCTCCAGTATCACCATCCTACTCTCCAGTATCACCATCCTACTTTCCAATATCTCCATCCTACTCTCCAGTATCACCATCCTAGTATCTTTCAAACTCTGGCTAGTCCCCAACAGGTAGCTCTCCCTGACGTCACCACCATATGTTCAAGCATACTCATCTTACACCACAACATCCACATCTTACTCACTATCAATCATTACAATCATCCTCATCAAAATCACCATCATTATCTCCAACATGACTATCATACTCATCAGCTTCTCCCATCTACCATCCCATTTGACCAACCAGTCTGCCCGTCTTATTACCCAACTACCGGTAGCCCATTTTACATACACCACAACCAGTCTTTTCTATTCCCCTACGCCTACATCTTTACTTTCAAACTTTTCCGTCGTACTACCCTAGCTCCCCTTTTAAGTCACCTTTTTCAGCCCAGTTGCCAGTTATTTAAGAGTGACATGTAAAATTTCAAAGGAGACAGATCATTGAAAGGTACTGGGATCAGCCAGAGCCATGCAACATCACCACAACCCACAAAAAAAGTGTAAATGTTTGAAATCGACTTGCGGAATTCAGCTTTTGGTTAGTTGGTAATTTTGGGTACTTGAGGAATATACAATTTTAACTTATTAATCCATCTCGATTTGTAAATCCATCTCGATTTGCCTGTTCTTAGTTATCGAAAAATATATTAAAATACATTTTTTAGTGTCACGTTTAGCAAATGTCTGTAATTTACAGTCTAACAATATGACCTAATTTGACTTGTACATAAAATTAAAACTTGAATACACTTGAATAATCATTAGCAGGAGAAATGTAACACTGATGAGAATTTCATACAAATACAATTAACTAATGCTAAAATTAGACTCATGCTTCAGATCATAAGAAGTATAGTCATGTATTGAAAAAGCCGTATTCAATTCCAATGTTTGAAAAAAATTATTTTTTTTCTAGTTTCAATTATTTTCTATTAATATTTTTATGGTAGTTATATCCCACCAAACAATCCCGGCAGCAATGTGTCAACATCCCTCCTACTAATGCTACTTGACATAATATGCATTCAAATAACAGACTTTATAAGAATAGTCAGAAACCAAAACTAAGACCATCGGTGAACGCTCCTTCTACTTCCATGGGCCCACGTTCTGGAACCAGCTCCCCTTCAATAGCCGTCATTGTGAAACTTCGTCCACTTTCAAAAAGTCCCTTAAAACCCATCTGTTTAGGTCCGCCTATGACCTGTGATGCACCCTCCTTGCCCTGCCTCATTTTCTGTCCTGGGTTGATCCTGTAGTATAGGCCAAAACGTGCCAAAGTGTCCTCGTTTTATAGCCATTTTAATTGTTTCTATAGTATAGTAGTTACTATCCTAGTGTCTCATTTTTATTTTACTTAGTTTACATGTTTTTAATAACTGTAAAGCGCTTAGAGCTTTAAGGTAAGCGCTATATAAAAATGCCTAAATAAATAAATAAATAATTAGTGCTATATCCCCCCACCCCTCCCCCGTACGGTGGCGCACACTTTTTTCAAGACACTGAAATATATTTATATTTTAATGTCTCACTTCCTTTTGTACCACAGAATTATAAGACCATTTATAAATTGAGACCGTTTTCGTAAAACCAAAAGAGTTACTTGGCACTTGCGTTATTTTTAATAATCCATTTAGCACAGTTAAATGGAATTTTATTTTGTGTGCTATTGAACTCACCAACCCACCATACTTTCTTTCATACCTAGAGAAATATATGTATTGATATTAAATTATTAAAAAGTATGATTGTATAAAAAAAATATATAAAATTTAGAACATTACAATTTTGTGTCATTAAATTTGATGTTTTTGATTTAGGAAAACCTGTTGAGTGCCAGTTTTTCAAAAATATAGAAGTAGTTAGCAAGTATTTTTTTAAATTTAAACTCAGTTTTCAATTGGTTAACAAAATTAAACTCTTTTTTTTACTTATTGGTAAAGTTCACTAAGGGGAGGGGGGGGGGGCATTATGAATTTTAAAAATGTAAACATTTTAAAAAGACTTTCTATACAAGATGAGCTAAAACGCACTAGAAAGTAGAAAATAATTTGACATTTCTTAAAATGCATTAAGCAAAGAAACTAAATTTGTTTTGGTACATGGATTGCTCTCATTTAAAATTTGGCTGCGGCTATTCGGACTCGGAATCAGAAGTGAGAGGTTGGTTTTATTAAAAAATTATTTTAAATATTATTGTAGGGTTTGTACGACAAAATTTGATATCAAATGAAAGATAATTGAATGGACTATATTTTTATAAACCTAATTGTTCAGTTTAACTAAAATAAACTACCACAAATGACATATATAGGGGGAGGGAGTGGCGCCTAAGCAATGTGACATCACATAAAAAGCAGAATAAAATGAAACAACTTGCACTAAATTATACAATTACAGTAATGTTCACCATAATCTAAATTATTTCAACAAATCTGTACTGTGGAGAGCTGTTAGGAATTCACGTGTGTGCGAATGACATCACATCTGGGTTGATCGAGATACAGGACAGCATGGAGGACAATGGTCAAATTGGCTGCAACATTTACAATTGGGATAAATTGTGTCCACAAAAAAAAAATAGAAGACTGTATCTGGTTATTGGAATGGGGAAGGAACAAAAAATAATTGACGTGGAAAATGATCTTACTAAGTTATGGGACAAGGGTCCCCAAACTTTTACAAGTCACAGCACCGTTGATGCATCCAGGTTTAAATTATTTTTGTTTTGACCTCGCTTTACAAGGTACTGAAATGAAAAGTTCGTGAATCTTTGCTCTTGTTGGAAATGTGTCTGACAAAGATGCAGCAATTGGATATCTCTTTCCAAAGGATAGAAATCTTTTCGAGTTTGTAAGTGTAACGACCGTCAAGACTGATTGCATTTCCTTTCCAAAACTACAGGATCACAGGCTTATTGAATTGATTTTAATAGGAGACGGAAGCACAATCTGAGCAACACCCAGTCATTCATTGTACAATAACACTTCATCGAAAGTGATTTGAAACATTAACTTTTTATCGATTTTTCTTTGGAGCGGGAGTAGGGTCAGTGCAATCTTAAGGCATTGGGCAGTTGCCCGGGGCTTCATGAATCCAGTTGCATCCAGGTTCCAATGTTGTTAATGAATGTTGACAGATCTTTAGGCAATTTATTTTGCTTTAAACTTTAAAAGTGCAGTGGTAAGCAATTAGTATTAGTAGTTTTATCTGAAGTAAGTTATAGTGCTTTTAAAAAAAAATGTGTATCTTTAAAACGTGGAAATATTTAAATTTTAAATAAATGAAGAAGAACAAAAAGTAATTATTATAATATGTTTAGTTTTGTTTCTATTTCGTTTAAAATGCACACTGATGTCAGCAGTCCTTTTGGTGACAAACAACTTTTTGGAATATAAATATATTTTTTTTAAATTTATTTAATAATGAAGCATTGTAAACAAACAGTATGAATTGAAATTTATAAAACATCTTTTCTATTTAGTAACAACTAAAAATAAAGCATTTTCATAAAGACAAATAATTTAAGGAACACCTATCTGGCAACTTGCATATCTTCTATTGCTTACCAATTGAGTGTAGAATTAGAAGGATGCAAAACTTAAGTTCAAAAAATGGAAATGTTTTGTTTTGTTGTTTTTTTTTTAAATTTTTTTTTTTTTTTTTTTTTTTTTTTTTTTTTACTTTATGTTGTACATATTCATTTTCAGGAAATAAATAAATAAGCCCTACATATTTTAACCAAGAAAACATGTTACAATTATAAAAAATATAAACACAATACATCTAAAGACATGGAAATGAACTCCTGTAGTAACAATAATGACTTTATTAGTGGTCATTTAGATTTGGTAACCACTACTGGGGGATAAGCCTGTAAATTTTTAAAGACGGGAACTAAAGAATTTTTATATCTTTCGGTCCTAACTTTAAGTTTAACTAATTTAAGAGAGAGAAATTCTCAGAAATCCAGCTGGTCTTAGCTATCTGTGATCAAGTGGGTAGTATGCATCACCCAAACATTTTTTTATTTTACAGCAGCATTTTTTTTTCAAATGGTGCAAGTGAAGAATGTTTAGTTTGCGTGATATCACTAGCTTTCTTGATTTGTATATTTAAATTTAATATGTGTTTGATATCAGATGATGATGTCCCACAACAGCAGGAATTCGATCGGATCGTGTTCATGTCAGTGTCAGCTTATTAATGGTAACACCTAGGTACGGGTACTTCCATTTACATTATAAATCTCTTACGAGCTCTACACTGTGATTATTTATTGTGAGACCTGCTAATAGATCAGGGGTCGGGAACCTTTTGTCTGAGAGAGCCATGGGACACCACATATTTTGAAAAGTGGGTAATTCTGTGAGAGCCATCATACATTATGTTTAAAACTTAAAAATTGTAGAAAATTTGTAGAATGAAATATTGATATGCAATTAATATGCAGATCAAAGGAGTCTAAAAGAAACAATTATTTTTTATATAATCGAACATTTGTCTGCGAGCCAGATGCAGCCATGAATAGAGCCACATCTGGCTCGCGAGCCATAGGTTCCCGACCCTGTAGTAGATGATCTCCCCCTCCGGAAATCGACCATAAATTTATTTCGTTCTTGAGACAATCAACTGGGGAAAATTTTCATCGTACCAACTGATAAAACTTGTATCTACGTTGCGGTGTATAAGTATAAGCTTTCCCCCTTGAGATGTTACGCCAACGATGTTTTGAAAGTGCAGCAGAAAATGAAAAATGTAACAGTTAAAATTATTTAAAAGATCAAATCTGGGCACGATTTCTACGTAACAGTACACATATAGCTGCACTAGCTGGGGTGACGTAACCAAGTGGCGCGTGTAAAATACGGGATATGTGCATAAATTATATAAAAATCGTGCGCTTGATCACGTTTGCATTAAAAGTATACATTCGTTACCCACTGTGCTGTGTGCCGACTTGTGGCTACGCATTATATGGAGTGCCATCTGGAAGCCCCCTTTTTTTTCTTTTTTTTACTTATTAGACCAACGATACACGCTGCTAGAAACGTGCCTGCATTGCGAGATGACCTCAAGTTTGACCTCGGGCGCATGGAAAATGAAGTTGTCATTGAGAAATTGGATCCTCCCACTGCATGGGTCAACTCGCTCGTTATTTTTGGAACAAAAAGTTGGTTTAAGGATCTGTCTTGATCCTAGAGACCTTAACACTGCCATTCAACGAGAACATTACCAATTACCCACCATTGAAGAAGTAGCTAGAAGACTTAGTGGCAGCAAGGTTTTGACTGTGTTGCATGTAAACTCAGCTTTTTTGGCAAATTAAACTTGGTAAAAATTGTACCGCCCTTACAACTTTCAACACACTTTTGGGAGGTACAATGAGACTGCCGTTGGACTCCATCTTCTGCAGAAGTATTTGCTAAAAGGTTCCACCAGGCTTTTGACAAAATTCCATGTGTTTAAACTTTCATGGACGAAAAGCTGATATCTAGTAGAACTATAGAAGAACACGATGAAAAATTGAAGAAAGTTTTTGATACAGCCAGTGAGAAAGGGATCAAACTGAAGCCATCCAAATGCTGTCTACGCATTAAGGAATGTAAATTTGTAGGACACATCATTACAGATAGTGGAATCAAACCTGATAACTCTAAGAATGAAGTACCGGTAATACAAACTATGCCATGTCTCTCAAAAGGAACGGTTGAGGCGACAACACTAGACACATTTGTGTCTATTGTCTCAAGCCGTCAAACCCTTAGGTCATGATTACCTCACAAAGTGGCAACGGAAATCATTGAAATTTCCTCATCAACACCAGGAACAGAAACATTGCAAATCCCATCTACATGCATAGGAGCCAAAATGATCAATAAATTGATCGTGGGCCCTTAAGATATAGAAGAAGAAGTCGCAAAGGTTTATAAAAAATTTTAGGAATTATTAATTATCTTGGAAAATTTGTCGCAAATCTAGCAGATATAACTGCATCCCTGTGAGAGTTGATCAAACAGGATAACGAGTGGGTGTGGCTGGAACAACACCAAACTGTAGTGGATCAACTGAAGAATTTAATCCCTCAGTCCCAGTGCTAGCTTTCTATGATGTCTCAAAGCCAGTCAAAGTGTCAGTGGATGTTTCGCAAGAAGGCCTTAACTTGTTGCAGTATCACAAGCCATTGGAAATGATCATCAAAAAGCCTTTGGCATCTGCTCCGCCCAGGATTCAGAGAATCCATCTACGACGCGTGAACTATGAAATCGTTCTTGAATACAAGCCTGGCAAATAATAAATGTTAATTACAGACTCCCTCTTACTGGCATCCCTACCAAGGCATTATCCGTCAAGTGATGATTGGGACGCCCAGGTTTATCTAATAGTAGTAAAGTCTACCTATTTTAGCAGGATGTCCAGATAGAAGATCTGAGATCCCACAAGAAATAAGAATGTATGCTAGATTCAAAGAATAACTAAGTGCAAGCCAAAGGTTTACTTTTCAAAGGAGAGCGAATTATAGTTACGAAAATAATACAGAAATAATTGCTGTAGAAACTTCATGAAGGACATTTAGGATGGCTTAAATGTTTGGCTTATACAACAAGAGAAGTACTATTTGGCCGGGAATTACATCACAGATCAAGGACATTATATTATTATCTAGCTGCTCAGTATACAGTTAGTATCAAAGTTCCCAGCAAAAAGATCCTATGATAGCCCACGAAATCCCAGCGCTTCCTTGGGAAAAAATCGGTGATGATATTTTTTTCATTATACTGAAAAGAACTATTTACTTCTTGTTGATTACTACAGCAGATTCTTTGAAATTAGTCTCATTCCGTCTCTCAACGCTTCTGGTGTGATTATTCATATGAGGTCTCAATTTGCTCGCCATGGCATTCCAAAAGAAGTAATTAGTGTATGTTCATACAAAATTCTTGGATAATATTTCACTACCACTATTTATATAATGGTGAATACATAACTTTTTTTTGGATTAACTGTTCATCGTCTTATTTAGAGTAAGATGTGATAGTATTTATACCTGACGATTATTGTTGTGTATATTGAGTGAATTGTGTGACCCGATTGGCCTGTGTTGTTGTGTGAATGGACGTGGTGAGTTGTTTTCATGAATGTTTAAACTTAAAGGTATGAATATTGGTTGGGGGTCATCCATAAAAGACGTCCACACAAAAGGGGGGAAGGGGGGGGTCAGCAAAAAGTGGACAAAAAGGGGGGGGGAGGGGGTTTAGGACAAAGTGGATGTCCACATTGTAGTGTTTTTTTGAGTGCAGCAGTTTTGCATAAATTTACTGCCCGATCACAGTTACAGTAGCATGCCTTTTGATCTCTATTGCCCATCGGTGGCTGGGAGAATTTCCAAGAGAATATGTTTCTGCGGTAAATATTTCCCATCACAGGCGGCAATGAAAAAAACATAAGGTCGTCCATTGCAATATTCCTGCTAGTGAACATACTATGGCAGACGAATCAGACGAAGAGACTGACACTCAAATTGAATTAGCAATTGAAGACTCAAGAACAGATGTTGTCATTATACGAAACATGTTTGAATGGCTGCAGTCCGAATTTTCCGTTGATTGAAGAATGGTGGATTATTTGTTTATTACATTTTTTA